CTTTGCTTGCCTGCTTGCTGGTTGTGGCAGTGGTGGTGATGGTGATGGTGCTGGTGCTGGCTGGGGTTGGCTACTAGCGGCTGGTGTGTCCATGCTGTCAGCTGCGCCAGTCGGGGCCTAAAAACTGCGATCAGAGCTCGCGCGGGCGCGAGGCTGACTCCGGATGCAGCACATCGCACGCATGCCTCGCGTCATGCAGCTGTGCTACTGACCCCTGCATTCCCGTGCACCCATTTCGAGCATGCCCGCACGCGCGCACGCACACACGCACACACACACACACACACACACACACACACACACACACACACACACACACACGTTTCAAGGTGCGCGGCGTCCTGGAGGAGATGGGCCAGCTGACAGGGCTGGTGGGCAGCATCGAGTACGGCCTGGCTGAAGACAGGTGGGGGGCACGCGTGGCGGGGGCAATCCGCGATTGGGAAACCCCCTATCGCTTTTAAAAAGGCGATTGGCGGATCAGCATGGCTGTCGGATCGCGGGGCCGTCGCGTGTGGGCGGCGCGCCGCCGCCGCCGCCGCTCTCGGCGGTTGCGGTGTGTGGCGCGGTGCGATTGGCAGGTCTGTCCAGGGGCGGCGCGAGCGACGGCAGGCGCAGGCGCGAACCACTGAGCTCTATGCGTGCGTCGTCCGCGCCTGCGGCGCACCCGCACCTGAGCGCCCCTGCGTCATGAAAAGCCGTCTCTGAGCCCGTTTAGAGGCTCAAACCTCTCGGCTGCCTCATCACCACGGTTCCCGCCAAATTTCGATTTCGAACTCGCCAGGCTGGACGAGACCGGGGACCTGTGGGAGCCGGAGGAGGAGGACCCCACCGCGCAGCGCGAGTGCACGTCGCCCTTCCACCTGGCGCCATACATGGTGCGAGGCCGCGCGGGCCGGCGCGCCCGCCCGGCCGGCTCCCGCGGGACCGCGGCGCGGCGCTCGTCCCTGCCCGGCATGCTCGACCCCAAGGGGTTGCACGAGAGGGGGTGCCCCCCTCGCCCCTCGCCCCTTATCACGGCTCTAAGCCACCAACCCACTACAGCGCTCGGGCACAGCAGTCAAAGAAAACCTCTCACGCCCGCCGCACGCACCCCGGACCGGGCCCTTCGCTCCTGACTGATCGGCCCCTCGCCCCGCTGGAAAAAAAACCTCCCCAGGGCAAGTACGACGTCGACTACGCCAACGACATGGACGGCGTCAGGATGCAGGCGCGTGCCGCGCGGCGCAGCGCGCGCAGCTCGCGACGCTTCGGATGGCGTCACGTTTTGGGCGGCCTGCATGTCGTCGTTTTGGGCGGCCTGCATAACCTCGTTTTCGGGCGGCCTGCATGCGTCGGGGCAGCTGCCATGCCAACAAAACGCCAGGCCTGGCAGGGGTGGTTGCTGCCCCGGCCGAGCCGCCGCCACCGCCGCCCTCCTCACCCCCGTTTGCTGGGTCGATCTCCCCCTAGGGTTTCCCGTTCCCGCCCTCGTTCCACAACTGTCTCCGCAACGCCTCGCACCCCTCACTCCGCGCCTCACTCACCTCTGGTGTGCTTGAGCGGCGCCCCCCCCCCCCCCCCC